TTTCTACTCTATTGGCAAAAGTATAAATACTCTTCACATCACATCCTGAATGAAGGTAATCCATATGTCCCTGTAGCGCCGTGGGAAGCGCGTTGGACTTCCATTCAAAAGTCGTGATTTCGAATCTCATCTGGAATGGTTCTGTATCAGCGGATGTTATTACTTTTAAACATTTCTACTCTATTAGCAAAATTATAAATACTTGCCACGATACATCCTGAGTGAGATTAATCTATAAGTCCCTGTAGCGCAGTGGATAGCGCGTTGGACTTCTAATCCAAAGGTCGTGGGTTCGAATCCCACCAGGGATGTTGGTATGTTATTTCTTTTAAACATTTCTACTCTATTGGCAAAAGTATAAATACTCTTCACATCACATCCTGAATGAAGGTAATCCATATGTCCCTGTAGCGCCGTGGGAAGCGCGTTGGACTTCCATTCAAAAGTCGTGATTTCGAATCTCATCTGGAATGGTTCTGTATCAGCGGATGTTATTACTTTTAAACATTTCTACTCTATTAGCAAAATTATAAATACTTGCCACGATACATCCTGAGTGAGATTAATCTATAAGTCCCTGTAGCGCAGTGGATAGCGCGTTGGACTTCTAATCCAAAGGTCGTGGGTTCGAATCCCACCAGGGATGTTGGTATGTTATTTCTTTTAAACATTTCTACTCTATTGGCAAAAGTATAAATACTCTTCACATTACATCCTGAATGAAGGTAATCCATATGTCCCTGAAGCGCGTTGGACTTCCATTCAAAAGTCGTGATTTCGAATCTCATCTGGAATGGTTCTGTATCAGCGGATGTTATTACTTTTAAACATTTCTACTCTATTAGCAAAATTATAAATACTTGCCACGATACATCCTGAGTGAGATTAATCTATATGTCCCTGTAGCGCAGTGGATAGCGCGTTGGACTTCTAATCCAAAGGTCGTGGGTTCGAATCCCACCAGGGATGTTGGTATGTTATTTCTTTTAAACATTTCTACTCTATTGGCAAAAGTATAAATACTCTTCACATTCACATCCTGAATGAAGGTAATCCATATGTCCCTGTAGCGCCGTGGGAAGCGCGTTGGACTTCCATTCAAAAGTCGTGATTTCGAATCTCATCTGGAATGGTTCTGTATCAGCGGATGTTATTACTTTTAAACATTTCTACTCTATTAGCAAAATTATAAATACTTGCCACGATACATCCTGAGTGAGATTAATTTCTACTATAAAATTATAAATACCCCCTGTAGCGCAGTGGATAGCGCGTTGGACTTCTAATCCAAAGGTCGTGGGTTCGAATCCCACCAGGGATGTTGGTATGTTATTTCTTTTAAACATTTCTACTCTATTGGCAAAAGTATAAATACTCTTCACATCACATCCTGAATGAAGGTAATCCATATGTCCCTGTAGCGCCGTGGGAAGCGCGTTGGACTTCCATTCAAAAGTCGTGATTTCGAATCTCATCTGGAATGGTTCTGTATCAGCGGATGTTATTACTTTTAAACATTTCTACTCTATTAGCAAAATTATAAATACTTGCCACGATACATCCTGAGTGAGATTAATCTATAAGTCCCTGTAGCGCAGTGGATAGCGCGTTGGACTTCTAATCCAAAGGTCGTGGGTTCGAATCCCACCAGGGATGTTGGTATGTTATTTCTTTTTTAAACATTTCTACTCTATTGGCAAAAGTATAAATACTCTTCACATCACATCCTGAATGAAGGTAATCCATATGTCCCTTAGCGCCGTGGGAAGCGCGTTGGACTTCCATTCAAAAGTCGTGATTTCGAATCTCATCTGGAATGGTTCTGTATCAGCGGATGTTATTACTTTTAAACATTTCTACTCATTAAAAATTATCGTGCCACGATACATCCTGAGTGAGATTAATCAAGTCCCCTGTCGCAGTGAATAGCGCGTTGGACTTCTAATCCAAAGGTCGTGGGTTCGAATCCCACCGGGGATGTTGGTATTTATTTCTTTTAAACATTTCTACTCTATTAGCAAAATTATAAATACTTTCACATCACATCCTGAATGAAGGTAATCTAATCCATATGTCCCTGTAGCGCCGTGGAAGCGCGTTGGACTTCCATTCAAAAGTCGTGGGTTTCGAATCTCATCTGGAATGGTTCTGTATCATCAGCGGATGTTATTACTTTTAAACATTTCTACTCTATTAGCAAAATTATAAATACTTGCCACGATACATCCTGAGTGAGATTAATCTAATCTAAAGTCCCTGTAGCGCAGTGGATAGCGCGTTGGACTTCTAATCCAAAGGTCGTGGGTTCGAATCCCACCAGGGATGTTGGTATGTTATTTCTTTTAAACATTTCTACTCTATTGGCAAAAGTATAAATACTCTTCACATCACATCCTGAATGAAGGTAATCCATATGTCCCTGTAGCGCCGTGGGAAGCGCGTTGGACTTCCATTCAAAAGTCGTGATTTCGAATCTCATCTGGAATGGTTCTGTATCAGCGGATGTTATTACTTTTAAACATTTCTACTCTATTAGCAAAATTATAAATACTTGCCACGATACATCCTGAGTGAGATTAATCTATAAGTCCCTGTAGCGCAGTGGATAGCGCGTTGGACTTCTAATCCAAAGGTCGTGGGTTCGAATCCCACCAGGGATGTTGGTATGTTATTTCTTTTAAACATTTCTACTCTATTGGCAAAAGTATAAATACTCTTCACATCACATCCTGAATGAAGGTAATCCATATGTCCCTGTAGCGCCGTGGGAAGCGCGTTGGACTTCCATTCAAAAGTCGTGATTTCGAATCTCATCTGGAATGGTTCTGTATCAGCGGATGTTATTACTTTTAAACATTTCTACTCTATTAGCAAAATTATAAATACTTGCCACGATACATCCTGAGTGAGATTAATCTATAAGTCCCTGTAGCGCAGTGGATAGCGCGTTGGACTTCTAATCCAAAGGTCGTGGGTTCGAATCCCACCAGGGATGTTGGTATGTTATTTCTTTTAAACATTTCTACTCTATTGGCAAAAGTATAAATACTCTTCACATCACATCCTGAATGAAGGTAATCCATATGTCCCTGTAGCGCCGTGGGAAGCGCGTTGGACTTCCATTCAAAAGTCGTGATTTCGAATCTCATCTGGAATGGTTCTGTATCAGCGGATGTTATTACTTTTAAACATTTCTACTCTATTAGCAAAATTATAAATACTTGCCACGATACATCCTGAGTGAGATTAATCTATAAGTCCCTGTAGCGCAGTGGATAGCGCGTTGGACTTCTAATCCAAAGGTCGTGGGTTCGAATCCCACCAGGGATGTTGGTATGTTATTTCTTTTAAACATTTCTACTCTATTGGCAAAAGTATAAATACTCTTCACATCACATCCTGAATGAAGGTAATCCATATGTCCCTGTAGCGCCGTGGGAAGCGCGTTGGACTTCCATTCAAAAGTCGTGTATCAGCGGATTTCGAAACATCTCATCTGGAATGGTTCTGTATCAGCGGATGTTATTACTTTTAAACATTTCTACTCTATTAGCAAAATTATAAATACTTGCCACGATACATCCTGAGTGAGATTAATCTATAAACATTTCTACCCCTTATAAATACTTGCGCAATAATCTATAAGCGCGCAGTGGATAGCGCGTTGGACTTCTAATCCAAAGGTCGTGGGTTCGAATCCCACCAGGGATGTTGGTATGTTATTTCTTTTAAACATTTCTACTCTATTGGCAAAAGTATAAATACTCTTCACATCACATCCTGAATGAAGGTAATCCATATGTCCCTGTAGCGCCGTGGGAAGCGCGTTGGACTTCCATTCAAAAGTCGTGATTTCGAATCTCATCTGGAATGGTTCTGTATCAGCGGATGTTATTACTTTTAAACATTTCTACTCTATTAGCAAAATTATAAATACTTGCCACGATACATCCTGAGTGAGATTAATCTATAAGTCCCTGTAGCGCAGTGGATAGCGCGTTGGACTTCTAATCCAAAGGTCGTGGGTTCGAATCCCACCAGGGATGTTGGTATGTTATTTCTTTTAAACATTTCTACTCTATTGGCAAAAGTATAAATACTCTTCACATCACATCCTGAATGAAGGTAATCCATATGTCCCTGTAGCGCCGTGGGAAGCGCGTTGGACTTCCATTCAAAAGTCGTGATTTCGAATCTCATCTGGAATGGTTCTGTATCAGCGGATGTTATTACTTTTAAACATTTCTACTCTA